TTCTGAACAGATTTGCAGAAATTCAGCATTAAATCACTTACTCACCGGTGGATCCTCTGCAGTGAATGGATGCCGTCAGAATGAGATAAAAACATCACGATAAGAAGCAAATCCATCCTTAAGACGCTTTAACTTTAAACCGTTGAGTTCTCTATCCATAATATTGCTTTCTCCAGTGAAAAAGTCTTTTCATCTGAATCAGGAGCGAAATATGCACAGATCAAGTCTAGGGGATTCAGCAGAAACTTGTTTTTCTATTATGGCTTCTGAGCTTTTATCATCAGAGCTGTTGCGCAGAGCAGAAACACTGAGGAATTTATCTCCGATCTTTCCATGAAAAGACTGCAAATCGCTAAGACAGACACCAAGAGATGCTCAAGACTCTTACAGCTTGTTCAAGGACTCATCGCTGTTTGAGATTCACTTGGAAAGATAATAATCTAATAAGCAAATGTCTGATACAAATTTACCAAGAAAATCTAAAAAATCCCTGCAAATTCATTCTCTCAGAAAAGACGTCTAACATTTAGTACATTCCCACTTTGATTACATCCATTGCATTTGGCAGAAGTCTATCCTGAGCTTTCATTCGTATACCTAGAAGTCACATTACTCACATTATAAGACCTGGGCAAGCAGGCAGTTAATTAAAATGGTGTTACGTTCTTCACATACACTACTTAATCTTCCATTCACTTCTATGAACACACAATACAGCCTCAAAATATCAGGATTCTACATGCTGTTCCCAAGAAAAACCTCTAACATTAGGTTTAAATAATCTCTTTGACTCCCTGACCTAACACATAAAAGACCCATCGTTCAGACCCCAATTAATATCATAGATTAAGCCTGGATGTGGATTCAACTATAATTTTTCATCTAAAATGTTTGAGTTGGATTTGCATCCTAAGACCTGACCCATGGATACTTCAAGGCATAATTCACCCAAAATTTAAAATTTGCAAAAACTGTACTCAACCTCAGGTCAACCAAGATGTAGATTTAGATTGTTTCTGAACAGATTTGCAGAAATTCAGCATTAAATCACTTACTCACCGGTGGATCCTCTGCAGTGAATGGATGCCGTCAGAATGAGATAAAAACATCACGATAAGAAGCAAATCCATCCTTAAGACGCTTTAACTTTAAACCGTTGAGTTCTCTATCCATAATATTGCTTTCTCCAGTGAAAAAGTCTTTTCATCTGAATCAGGAGCGAAATATGCACAGATCAAGCACTGTTTACAAGCAAAAACAGTCCAAAACAGTTCTAAACAAATATGTTGGTGGATTTTGATGTGAGAAGACAACAGGAGATGGACTTTTTCACTGGAGGACACGTTATTATGGATTATGGATTATGGACTAGAAGTTAAAACATCTAAATGATGGATTTGTTTCTTACAAACAAACAGCTTTTCACTTCACAAGACAATAATTGTAGACTGGAGTCATGTGGATTACTGTCATGTTTTTATCAGCTGTTTGGACTCTCATTCTGACGGCACCCATTCACTGAAGAGGATCCACTGGTGAGCAAGTGATAAAATGTTACATTTCTCCAAATCTGTTCCAATGAAGAAACAAACTCATTTACATCTTGGATGGACTGGGCGTTAGTATATTTTCAGCAAATTTTCTTTTTAGGGTGCTATTCCTTTAAATGCAGGTAACCCAAGCTTCATGTTGTGTGAACTACATATAATTTTCTAATTAAGTTATTTAACTGACTGCTCTTTTACACATGAAAGTGAAATGAAGCCAATGGCTATCAAACACCAGAAAAGAATAAATGACACCATAAGAATTGTTTTAAGTATATTAAGGCAAAGTCCAGCATCATTACAATTAAAAAGCCTGTCCTCTGCCCTCAAATTTACTTAATGTGGTCTGCACATTCCATACCTTCTGCACGGACTGACAGTGCTGTACAACTATTTAAATTATATTTTTACACACACAATTATTAACTGTAGTGTCAGCAAAGGAAGTCTATGAGACCCGGAGAGCGCTATCTATTAGCATTCCCATTCATCTCAATGGCAGTCTACGTGTGTGTTTGTGTTCATTTCAGTGAGTCAATGTGCCTATTGAAACATCTGATATGTCATCTCCACAGTCTCCAGATAATTAGCGTTCAGCCTGTCACACCGACCCTAGCATGAGGTGCTACCTGGGAATTTACATCACTATCTGGTTTTCAGAATGGAGCTTACTGAATACAGCACAATACATACTATATACTGCATACCACCTTTAAATATAGCATGAGAAACAGAATATATTATACAAAAACAAAATTTAAACAGTACCTGCTGGAGCCAACATCTTAAACCAGTCTGAGCTGGTTTGTGGGTCTTAGCTGGTCTCTTGGATCATTTCAAATGGGTTTTGGGAACTTTTAAACTGGGAGACCAACTTAAAACAGCTAAGACTAGCCAACCAGCTATAGGCTGTTTTAGGTAGGTTTTACCAGCATTGTATGCTACATTGTTGTCAAATAAATGTTTAATTCAATGCAGAATTTACAACATAGAAGAACATTTACACCACAAAATAGTATGCATGCTTGTATATATTTAGAATTTTCATGTCTGTTCCTGAACACTTATCTAAAATGATGTGTTTTTGACTATAAGAAGAAATACTTAATGAATTTTGATTGTTTTTAATAGGATATTATTCTGAAATCAAAATACTTTTCTTGCAATTTCAACATTTTGTTCAAATATTCAGCTTTAAAATGAATTTTAATACAAAACACTGGAGAAGGTTTAATACTTAATTAAAACAAACTATTTTCCGATGTGGTTCATTCTCTCATTAGCATTGTGCAAGGAAATTAAAAAGCAAACTATTTGGTTTTTAAAATGTGCATTTTTAATAACACAAGGCATGCTGGGATGGCCCTGACTTATTATGTTTGTGCCATAAAGATCCCGTCTGTCGATGCAGATTTTCAAACTGCTTATTCAGCGAGATTTACATAGAGCTGGAGATAATAAACATTCATGCATGACTGCAGGACAAAACAACAAAATGTTCACCCAGATTCCTCAGAGACACAATGGCCTCGAGATAAAGCTTCATATAATTCTCTGACCTTATTGTGAAAATATTATGGTGAATAAAATTAGACTGATTTGCTCAAATTGCTGGATACTACTCTGTAAATCAAAACACTTTTCTTGCAATTTTTACATTCTGAAAGTAGAGCAGATATATGCTTTAAAATGAACTTTAATGCAAAACACTGGAGAAGGTTTAATACTTAATTAAAACAAACTATTTTCCAATTATACTCCATGTGGTCCATTCTCTCATTGACATTATGCAAGGAAATTAAAAAGCAAACTATTTGCATTTTAATATCTGTATATTTAATAACACAAGGCATGATGGGATGGCCCTGAGTTATGTTTGTACCATACAGATCCTGTCTGTCAATGCAGACTTTCAAACCGCTTATTCAGCGAGATTTACATAGCGCTGCAGATAATAAACATTCATGCATGACTGCAGGACAAAACAACAAAATGTTCACCCAGATTCCTCAGAGACACAATGGCCTCGAGATAAAGCTTCATATAATTCTCTGACCTTATTGTGAAAATATTATGGTGAATAAAATTAGACTGATTTGCTCAAAAATTATTCACACATATATATATATATATATCGGCCACCTCTCTAAGATATCTGCATCGGCAGTCAAAAAAACAATATCGGTCGACTATTAGTCTTCACTGTCACATGATCCTTCAGAAGTAATTTTAATATGCTGATTTGCCGCTCAAGGAACATTCCTATTAATTATCAAGGTTGAAAACAATTGTGCGGCTTCATATTTTTGTGGAATTATTTATTATAAATAGAAAGTTCAAAAGAACAGAATTTATTTTAAATAGACAAACATATTAATTGTCTTTACTGTCACTTGATTAATTTAATGCATCCTTGCTGAATAAAAGAATTACATTCTTTAAAATATATATGTGTGTGCATATATATACTGTATGTACATATATATAAATTGCGAGGCAGGGGGAAAATGTCAAAAAACAAATAAACTTCAGGGACATGTATATGTTCTCCCCATAATAAATTGGAACGAGCTCTTATGTCACAGGGTTTCTGTCCCGTTGTCAGCATTGATTATCTTTTAACCCTCTTTCTACTATTAATAATACGTCCAGTGACACCTAAACTCTTCAGGGGCTTTAATATATGATGATCTCCATAGTAACTGTAATCTCAAAGACAGAGAGGGATCCCCATTGCCTGAAAAGTTAATAATTATCATAATCATGCAGCAACTGATGAATCATTTCCAGATAATGGGTGTAAATTAATGCTGAAAAAAATTTAACGCGAAAGCACCATCATTTTGCCTGATTTGACCGAGGTGCAGTTAATATTTAATTTGAGCCAAAAGCACCATTAGTGACTAGTTGACTCTCACATTTGCTCTACATTTGAACGTGTTTGAAGAAAACACCAGGGTGAACATCAAAAATGAAAGTTTAATCAGAACTGCTTATTATTTGTGTTATTAATTTATAGTGAAACAAAACAGCTGAATCATCACACGTGGTTTTGTAAAAGTCTTGCAGTTAAAAGGGTGCCATGTAAAAAATAATAACTTTTGAACTTAGGACTTATTGCTACAGTTTTCTAGCTCGTTTTTAGTGGTTACACATCAGACCATGAAAATACAATCCCCTAGACTGATTTTCACAGCCGCCTCAAACTTAATTTCAGTGATGCAAGTCTATAGATTAGCTAAAAAAAATGCAATAAATTCTGCTGGTTTTTGTTTATTTGACTGTTGCATGCTCATCTTTTACATTCCTGGCCTACATTATGAACATAAAAAAAGCGTTTTTGGACTTGGGTGGATGCGTTATTAATGTGTTTTTGAACAATCTTGTGCTGCTGCCTGCTGGTCGTCTCATTCATGCATTGTCAACAATGAGCTTTTGTTGGCAGAGTCACTTCTAGTACAACGATCTGTTGAAGAAGTCATTCATTAGAGATGTACCTATGAGTGGAGTCATAGCCGAGGTTAAAACAGAGCTGCTCTGGATGATAAAGGTCATTCCTGCTCCCATCAACATGGCCAGATATCCTGACAGCCAGCCAAGAGGGTACGGGAAATCTATAAGGAGTTAAAAATAGACACAAAAGAGACAGCTGTTGATCTACAGTAAGAATATACAGATGTGTGCCTATACGGAAAAAAAATTACAAATGAATAGGGGTGTAACTGTACACAAAAATGATGATTCGATATACGTACCTTGGTTTTGAAGTCAGGGTTCAGTAAGTTTACGGTACAGCAGGGGGCAAAACTAAACATAAAATTGCTTCTTTTTTCTTTTTTATTAAACGGTGGTTTGCTGAACAAACTGTGGCTCTGTCTTTAAATAAATTGATTAACAATTACATTTTTAAAAATAAAAAAATCTATATCAGCTAATGCTGTAAACTATATTATCACTATAATATTAAAAAGTCCATTTAACAACAGTTGCTATTCAATTTGCTATTTATTTTTAAAATATAATAATCAACAAAATTGTATGCAAATACATAAATTGCACATAAGGTAGTTTTTACATTAACTTTTAAAGCCAATTATAAAATTATGTTTTTACTCCAATTTGTTGTTGAAATATATTCATTTACGCAGTGGCTGTTATAAATTGTTTTCCTAAGAGATTTTAGTTAAACAGACATTTAATAATTAATACATCACTAACAGGTTAAGTAAAATCTAATGAATATGCTAATATAGTGCGGAAATGCTCTTCTCTACACTTTATTTCTCTTGCAAACAAACGAGCTATGGACACTAAATGAGTTGCCTTAGGTAAATATAATATTACGTACATTTAATTCTATGTGAGGTTTTGTTTAATATCACTTATACAGTGATCTGTCAAAACGGAATTTATGTTTTAATTTCCTGAAAAAATTAACAGATTTTGAAAGACAAGGCTTTGTTTCTTATTGAAAGTAACTAATAACAACGCTTATTTGCGATTATTGGATAGGAAATCACACTTTATAATATCTAGTGAAGTTTTACTCACACATGAACTGAAGCAGTATAGACTAAAATATACGTATACCATTACACCCTACAGTAACCCCTTTGTAGTAAATTGAAAATACTACAGTAAGACTTGTCATTCTCTGGCTCTCCCTCCTCCAGCCCTACGGCTGCTCACCCGTGTTGATGACCCCTTCGATGACCTTTGCAACTTGACCTTTGAGGAGAGAGTTCAGCACTTTGACGATCAGCAGCAGGCAGGTGCACAGCACCATCAGAGAGCTGGCTAACAGAATGAGCCCCACCGCCAGGTCAGACAAACCCGAGTCCACAAACAGATGCTGGCCTGGAGGAACGAGAGTGAAAAATGAAGACAAAATATAGGTATTAATGGACACAGAAGCATTCAAATGAAGGGGGATCAGGACATGCAAAAGCAAAGTTAACCAAAAGGTCAGTAGTTCATGATAAATAATTAAATACTAAATATTAACGACTGCTTTTTTCTGAATACAAATAAATAAATAAATGAAGAATTAAATAGAAAGTACATAAATACAAATACACATAGAAAACGAATACATAGAAATAAAAAATAAAGAAAATAATAAAGCTAGAGAGAGATCGATGATAGATGATAGATATATAGATAGATAGATAGATAGATAGATAGATAGATAGATAGATAGATAGATGAAATAAAAAAATATAAATACAAATAAATAGATATAGTTTGTATGTGTATACACACACACACACACACACACACACATATATATATATATATATATATATATATATATACACACACACACACACTTATATATGAGATTTAAGAGGACTCTCCATAGACGCAATGGTTTTTTATTCTGCACAAACTGTATTTTCTCTTTTCCTATCCCCTTAGTGTGTGTGTGCTTGGTTTATGGGGAGACAAATGTGTCTAATGACATGGGTATTACAACTTAAACATTGTTAATGAAGTTTACACTTCCTGTGTCCTCATAAACCAAAAGGCTTAAAAACATACTAAACAGTGTTTTTTTTTTGAAGTGTGACAATTTTTGAAAAAATGCCAGTAGTTTTGTGTGAGGGTTAGGGTTAGAGTAATCCTGGACAGGAGAAATTAGACATTTACATTTTTAATTACTCTGAAATCACACACATTTCTCTGTGTTGATCTGCAAGGTGATATTCTGTGTGATCCAGGTGAGATCACTGTACTTCCCACAATGCAGTTCAGTGGAGCAGTTCTGGGCGGCCGCTGCTGTCACATTCACTGAGGACTGGAGAGGGAGAAAGAGCAATATTTACCTGAAAACTACTGCAGAACAGAAAAGACTTAAGCATTTTCTTATGAAATATGGTCGGTTGGAGTGGATAAACATGAGAAGGTGACACAGTCTTGTGAACTGTGACAAGATAGTGTAGAGCGGATGACAAGTGGCAGAATGACTGACAGCAGATCATCTGGAGAGGAGATGTGTTTTCTCAATAGTCTGTAAGCATCTGAAAAATCAAACACAACTTGACCAGGAAAAGTTTACTCGTGAAGTGTTGTACTGACTACTAAATACATTTAGTCTAGTGCAAAATGCATGAAGGTGAAACTCACAAACCCCGTCAGAAACATGTCCAGGTCTCATTTCACCCCAAAACTATTAAAAAATAAATAAATGAGAAATTACTTTTTTTTTTTTTTTAGGAAATAAAGCTTATTTTTCTTAATTTTGATATTTCATGACTGTTAAACACATTATCCCCCAAAACTGTATATTATTTAAAATCGTACTTAAAATCTTATTTAAATTGTGAAGCATTAAAACATTTTTTTTTTTTGTATTTCATGGTGATTTATTCAACATAAAACAACAACTGCTGTATTCTAATAATGAGTATATTGAAAATAAAATTAAATAAAATTAAATAAAATTAAATTAAATTAACAGCAACAAAAAACCCACAAAAGTAAACCATTTTGACAAGTTAGATAGATAGATAGATAGATAGATAGATAGATTAAAAATCATAGATTAGAAAAGAGATAGATAGATAGATTAAAATCATAGATTAGAAAAGAGATAGATAGATAGATAGATAGATAGATAGATAGATAGATAGATTAAATCAGGTATAAAGATAGTGATTAAAACATGATAGATGATAGATATATAGATAGATAGATAGATAGATAGATAGATAGATAGATAGATAGATAGATGAAATAAAAAAATATAAATACAAATAAATAGATATAGTTTGTATGTGTATACACACACACACACACACACACACACATATATATATATATATATATATATATATATATATATACACACACACACACACTTATATATGAGATTTAAGAGGACTCTCCATAGACGCAATGGTTTTTTATTCTGCACAAACTGTATTTTCTCTTTTCCTATCCCCTTAGTGTGTGTGTGCTTGGTTTATGGGGAGACAAATGTGTCTAATGACATGGGTATTACAACTTAAACATTGTTAATGAAGTTTACACTTCCTGTGTCCTCATAAACCAAAAGGCTTAAAAACATACTAAACAGTGTTTTTTTTTTGAAGTGTGACAATTTTTGAAAAAATGCCAGTAGTTTTGTGTGAGGGTTAGGGTTAGAGTAATCCTGGACAGGAGAAATTAGACATTTACATTTTTAATTACTCTGAAATCACACACATTTCTCTGTGTTGATCTGCAAGGTGATATTCTGTGTGATCCAGGTGAGATCACTGTACTTCCCACAATGCAGTTCAGTGGAGCAGTTCTGGGCGGCCGCTGCTGTCACATTCACTGAGGACTGGAGAGGGAGAAAGAGCAATATTTACCTGAAAACTACTGCAGAACAGAAAAGACTTAAGCATTTTCTTATGAAATATGGTCGGTTGGAGTGGATAAACATGAGAAGGTGACACAGTCTTGTGAACTGTGACAAGATAGTGTAGAGCGGATGACAAGTGGCAGAATGACTGACAGCAGATCATCTGGAGAGGAGATGTGTTTTCTCAATAGTCTGTAAGCATCTGAAAAATCAAACACAACTTGACCAGGAAAAGTTTACTCGTGAAGTGTTGTACTGACTACTAAATACATTTAGTCTAGTGCAAAATGCATGAAGGTGAAACTCACAAACCCCGTCAGAAACATGTCCAGGTCTCATTTCACCCCAAAACTATTAAAAAATAAATAAATGAGAAATTACTTTTTTTTTTTTTTCAGGAAATAAAGCTTATTTTTCTTAATTTTGATATTTCATGACTGTTAAACACATTATCCCCCAAAACTGTATATTATTTAAAATCGTACTTAAAATCTTATTTAAATTGTGAAGCATTAAAACATTTTTTTTTTTTGTATTTCATGGTGATTTATTCAACATAAAACAACAACTGCTGTATTCTAATAATGAGTATATTGAAAATAAAATTAAATAAAATTAAATAAAATTAAATTAAATTAACAGCAACAAAAAACCCACAAAAGTAAACCATTTTGACAAGTTACAATAATGAGAGTTTGAAAAAAAATCTGAATACATGTTTAAAGGTCATGAAAATTACACATTCTGTATTTTATTTTATAATTTATATTATTATTATTAAAGTATTTATAGTTATTATTTATAAAATATTTATTTTGTCTCTTTCATTTTGTGTTTTTATTTATAATATTATTATAGTAAGTATTCATTTTTATTTACTTACTAACTTGCTTATTCATTCATGCAAGCAACTAATTAAAATTAATTTTTTTATCTTTTTCATAGAGAAGAAAAAGAACCTCCAGATTAATGGTAACATTTATAGGTAAAAGTTCATGGGTAAATTTGTGAGGTGTACAGATTAGGATCATGAAAAATGTCAGGAGAAAGTTACCACAAAGATGCTAGACTTGCACCAGACTTTCACGAGGCTGTGATTCCTCATGGACTCGTCGCCTAGAGCAATGCCCGTTATTACTGATTTATCCAGCTTGAAGAGAGAGACGCCACAGTCAGTATCAGACTTCTCTGTGTCACTGTAGGCGAGTACTGACAGAAATTACAGCCTGACACAAAATATTCAGCATATCTCTACATAGTGCATGCACACAAACACACACACCTGTATGATGAGTTTGGTGAAGGGTTCAGTGAGCGTCTTCAGCAGTTCAGGTGCTTCCTCTCCTCTGTGCAGCTGAAAGCTGCTGACAGTGACTCTGGCCAGGTGACTCACCAGACCGGACGCCACCTCAACCGGCAGCAGCACCAGCACAGACAGCCAGTTAAAACAGTCATGGATCGTCGCCCCAGCAAACGCCCTTGAAAATGAGGGCGGAAGAAAAAACACAAATACACGTGATCACTATAGATTCAAAAATGATAATAATAATAATTAAATGTATAGAAGGAACATTTTTTATAAAAAGAAACAAAAAATTATAATTAAATACATAAAAAGTAAATGAATACAAATACAAACAGATAAATATAATACAAATTAAGAAAGACAGAAATAAAAATAGGGCGAGACTCCATGAGAGAACAAGAGGACAGGAGGTCAGTGGATTGTTTTTTTTGTTTGTTTTTTTTGTTTTTTTGCATGTAAAATAAATTAAAAAAAAGATAAAATAAAAATTAAATGAATAGTCAATCAATAAATGAATAAATAGCATACAAATAACAAAGAATACAAACAGATTAAAACTATACAAATTAAGGAAGATAGAAATAAAAATAGGGCAAGACACCATGAGAGAACAAGAGGGCAGGAGGCCAGCAGATTTTTATTAGTATTTTAATTTTTTTTGCAAGTAAAATAAAAATAATTAAATAATTAAAATGAAAAAACGTAAATTAATAAAAAGAAATAAAAATTATTAAATGAAAAGTAAATAAATAAATAAATAAAAATGAATGAAAATAAATAAGTAAGTAAAAATAAAGACAGAAATAAAAAATAGGGCAAGACGCCATGAGAGAACGAGAGGACAGGAGGTCAGCTGATAACAAAACTAATTTTTAATGTATTATTAATAATAATAATAATAATAATAATTGTATTAAATCATTAAATAAAAGTAAATAAATAGATAAGCAAAATTACACAATATATAAAGACTAGTTTTTAGAAAAACTTATAATTAAGTGACTTTATGCTTAAAAAAGAACAAATATCTATCAGTGGAGTCAGAAAAATAAAACTCATTTCCCTTTGATTTAAGGTTATTTTTCTGACCCCATCTGCAGATTCTGCATGCCAGTTTGATTAAATACTGATGAAAAAGGTGATGGTGAAAATCATTAGGTACCGTTTAAAATCGTTCCTCTCTCCTGCCTGCATCAGGGCAACAATGGTGTTGGTGACAGACGTGCCGATGTTGGAGCCCATAATGATGGGGACGGCAGACTTCACTTCGAGCACTACACACACGTACATCACATAAATCATAAAGCTTGAGCAATAGCAGTAGTGATGCTTGCTTTAGCAAATACCACTAAATATCGTCCATCTCCTCTGTTCTGTGACGGCAGATCATCATTTCTTTTTCATTTGTTTCTTAAATCAGCATTAGAATCAAGTCAAGTTTCCATTCAGATACTATGAATGGGTAGTTTAGCATCAGTAATTGCAGTAATTACTGTCCCTTACGCTGCTGGGGTTTGCAGCTGGAGGGAAACGTGGCTCGTGTTTTACCTGAAGGCCCACAGAGCTTCACGTGAATGAACGCACACACACTCCTGACATCCATCAGCTTCAATTTATTTACTCAGAGAAAATGTGCTGAAAATGTATATTAACCCTCAGGCCATGCAAGATGTAGATGAGTTTGTTTCTTCACCAGAACAGATTTGGAGAAATGTAGCATTACATCACTTGCTCACCAGTGGATCCTCTGCAGTGAATGGGTGCCGTCAGAATGAGAGTCCAAACAGCTGATAAAAACATCACAATAATCCACAAGTAATCCACATTACTACAGTCCATCAATTAACATCTTGTGAAGTGAAAAGTTGTGTGTTTGTAAAAAAACGAAGCCTAAGATTTTTAAACTTTAAACAATTGCTTCTGCTAAAAATACAAGACCATAATTCATAATAATGCTTCCTCCAGTGAAAAAGTCCATCCCTTGTTGTCCTCACACATCAAAATCCACCAACATATTTATTTAGAACTGTTTTGGACTGTTTTCACTGCTTGATCTGTGCATATTTCTCCCCTGATTTAAACGAGACTACTTTTTCACAGAAAGCAATAGTTTAGATAAAGCGCTCATATATTAGCCAGAAGCAATTGTTTGAAATTTGGTCAAAATGTCTTAATGCTGGGTTTGTTTCTTACAAAGACAACGTTTGGCTTCACAAGATGTTGATTGTTGGACTGGAGTGGTGTGGATTACTTGTGGATTATTGTGATGTTTTTATCAGCTGTTTGGACTCTCATTCTGACGGCACCCATTCACTGCAGAGGATCCACTGGTGAGCAAGTGATGTAATGCTACATTTTTCTAAATCGCTTTCCATGAAGAAACACCTTGGATGGCATTTTTTGGGTGAACTACTTACTATCAGCATAACAATTTGAGTAAAAAAAAGTTGACATGGTGAAAGTCACAAATGTGAAAGTCTCAGACTTTTGGACCCCATAGTAGCATCTATATATTAAAACCCTTTATTGTGTCAAACATAAGCTCATTAAGCTCATTAACCCAAACAAAACTTCCTAATTAAATTGTCGCATCTGTTGTGATTCCACCTGAACTCTGATGTTTAGTTGGAATGAGCTCTGATAGTCACACTTCACAAGCTTCTCAGACTCTGAGGCCACCGCTGCATATGCACAAACTAATTAGCTCATCCGTGAGAGATGCCACTTGATTAAAGCAGGAACAACATGTAGAGATAAGGCTTTCTGGAAATAATTTGGAATAAAAAAGGACATGGTTGAATCATTCAGGGCCAAGTTTTGCAAAAGAGCAAAGTATCTGCAAGTCACAACAGTTTTACAGATGATCACGGTGAATAAAGCCACGAGTCGCAGCTGTTTTGTTAACAGACAACTTAAATGGAACTTTGGATGTCATGACGTTTTGGATCAGATAAAAAGTTAAGCTACTGTCAAAAGGGTTTTTAAAATAAAGCTGCCCTCAAAGGCAATGTGCCAAGATTTAATGGCTTTCGAACGTCCTTATTTTACGTCTGTCTGCACAAGTACATATACCAACTGTTAAAACAACCAATACTGTATTTCAACCTTAGACTGACTGTAGGCCAGTGATGGGTTTACAGTATGTATGCATTAAAATAAATGCTTATGCTCCCCAAGCACGCATTTATATGATCAAAAATGTAGTAAAAGCAGTAATATTTTGACATATTATAATTTAAAACAACTGCTTTTGTATTTGAATATATTTTAAAGTATAATTTATTACTGTGATGCAAAGCTGAATTTTCAGCATCTTTACTCTAGTCTTCAGTGTCACATGATCCTTCAGAAATCATTCTAATATGCTGATTTGCTGCTCAAGAAACATTTCTGATTATTCATGTTGAAAACAGTTGTGCTGCATAATGATTTTGTAGAAACTGTAATAAATTTTTCAGGATTCTTTGATGAATAGAAAGTCCAAAAGATCAGCCTTTATTTAAAAATAGGAATCTTTTTAGCATTATTAATGTCTTTACTGTGACGTTTGATCAATTTAACGCATCCTTGATCAATAACAGTTATCATTTCTTTAAAAAAAAAAAAAGTTACCAACCCCAAAAGTTTTAACAGTAGTGCACTTCAATTAATTAAATGTATCAATTGACAGACATAAGGAGAGGATATTAATCTGAGGTTATTGGTTTAGTCTATAAATCTGACTGTACTAAAAATGAGTTGTGTTTCTTACATCCAGATGAGACCAAGCTGACTATAATGGATGTGGAAGTACTGGAGCTCTGGACCAGAACCGTGACCAGAATCCCCACCATAAGTCCTGCTACGGGGTTGGATAGGATGGCATTGTCCTGGAAAATGTCTCCAGCCACTTTGCCTCACAAAACAGCAAAACATTTGAAACATTTGATTCTCTTTAGTGAACTGGGTTTGATGTCAAAATCTTAAAGGGACCAGTCCACCCAAAAAGGAACATTTACTCACCCTCATGTCAGTGCAAACCAACATGACTCTGTTTCTTATTTGGAACACAAATGTTACGCACAATGAAACTGTATAGGGACAGGTACTGTTGATTATTTGGATTTCTTTTTTTTTTTTTTTTTTCTGTCCCTATTCACTTTCAGTTTATAGGAAATAATAAAACATGAATGTTCTAATGAACATCATTTTTTGTGTTCCACAGAAAAAGTTATTTGAATAGGTTTGACAAGGAATGACGTGAAAAATGAAAAAATATATTTTTAGGTGAACTGACCCTTTAGCAGCACGTTATGGTTTGCTTTTGTGCAGATGACATGCACCACAGCGCTGAATGCTGATGTTAAACATGCAAAGCCACTTCTTCCTTGTCATAAACATACGTTTAGAATTGATTAACTAAATTTTAATGCCTAACCAATGATCGCAACCTTGAGAACACAGCATTTCTTCACATGTACAGTAAAACAGTTAAGGTCTTTTAAATATGACAAACAACCCTCTCCACAGAGAAGCAGGTAATTAAGAATATTTAAAAGATCACATAGGAGCTTTAACTAAAAAATTGTGAATTGCATGAAAACAAATCACATTTGACCCCAAAATAAAAGAAAAAGAATGCAAACAAAAGGCTGAACGGTAAAGGAAAACAATCATGTAAATATATATTATATATTCTATGATATGAAATAAAAACAAACAATATATTTACTAAAAGACATGTTTTGTCTACAATAAATAAATATTTTGAATTGACATGTCATGGCTCAATCGGTAAGAATTTTTAATTTTTCATGAAAACAAATCACATTTGACCCCAAAAATAAAAGAAAAAGAAGAGAAATTTGGAATTTGTCTGGGAAATGTGCTTACTTGTCATGACAATAAAGTGTGAAAGTAAAAAAAAAAAAAAAAAGGCAGAAAATTTGAAAGAAAACTTTAAAGCACGTAAAATGCCAATGTGCTAGAAGAACAGATGTGGTTAACAGATGCAAAAAGTGGAGTAAAGGACCATTAAGGATGAATAATTACCTCCAGCCAGCTGAAAAGCAGAGCTCAGTACATCCAGCGAACACACAAACCCATAGAGCAAGAGCAAGAGGAGAGGAATCCTAAGTAAACTAATGAACTGTGAAGACATTTCTCCACGTCTGTCCTCGCAGGTCTTTGTGGGCACTACCAGAGGAGAGCAAACCTCTTCAGATATAATCTAATACATTTAGATGATTTATTAACATTGTTACTTTGTAGAGTTAAAAATAAGCATTTTCTGGAATGCAAAAGCCTAAAAAGTCCTGCAAAATTCATACAGAACATTTGACTTAGACACACAGTGGACTTTGGGAAGTTGTCCTGCTTCCCAGGGTTTGGATGAAGGACGGTCAGCATCAGTGTTGGAGGTCTGGTCATGGCCGCTGCTCACCAGGTCCAGAACTGTGCTGTTATTTCTGGGGTCGTGACCCCCAGCTGGGTCAGAAAGAAAAAAAAAATAAAGAAGAAATGAAGCATAAGTATTAAGTCACTTATGCTTTATTCTATAGAGTGGCCCCAAAAACAACTTGAACACTTAAACACATTTATTCTTTCATCATAATAACCCAACAAACTTCTTTTAGTGAAATGTTTTCTTGTAAAGTGTGCTTCTGCTGTTTTTCTTTAAAATAAATGCCACTTGGTCTCATTTTTTTGTACTATAATGCAACAACATGGTGACATTTTAAGTGTGACTTAAGTGTCCAAATATTTTATGGGGGCCTGACATGTGATATGTGTGTATGCCCATACGGAAATGTAATATATGACATATAATGCTCTATATTAGGAGTGATATTGACATATACAGTATGTCACCTATCAGGTGATATATAATTTTCGCAAACGTACATTAGTAGACGAAGATATGAATTTGTATACAGTATGCGCATATACTAACAATATCCATATGATTATTTTTATATGGTATTATATGTAGCAATATTATATGTATGTCAACAATATTTTTCTTTACATATTCAACTTCACTAAAAAAACATACACAAAATATCTGTGTTTATATATGGTTTTGTACATTTTTTTAAATGCATGTCTATCTTGTAAATTTACTTAAATAATATCAACATGTATTGACAGATTTTAGGATGGATTTACATGTACATGACACGTCACAATATGTATTACACATAAACATACACATTTGTTAATATATGAAATTGTAAAAATTTTGAATATATAGGTTTGATATACGCTTTACTTCATATGACGATATATTTAATATATGGAAATTTAATACATGTACATATATTACATTTGCCTATAGATACTTTGAGGTTTGGGGTCAGTATATATATATATATATATATATATATAAGATATATATATATATAAGTCTCTTCTGCTCACAAAGACTGTATTTAATATATTAATTTAATGCATCCAGTAACTGAAATAACTGAAAATAATTATTGAAATTTCAAATAACTGTTTTCTATTTTTCTATTATAAATTTATTACTGTGATGCAAAGCTGAATTTTCAGCATCATTACTCCAGTCTTCAGTGTCAGAAATAATTTTAATATGCTGATTTGCTGCTTAATAAACATTATTATTGAAAACCTGACAATTTAACTTGAAAATAAATGTCTAAATGTTTCTGACATCTTACCATTGAAGCTGATAGTTTGCTCTGCAGTGGTGATTCTGATTGGTCATGAGGACATGTTGCAGTCTGTGTAGAGATCAAAATATATCTCATGACCATTTCCATTTGTTGGACATTGATCTTTAACTAGAAGGTGTTCAGTTTTTTCCATTTGAAGGTTACAGTTACAACAAAGAGGATTTGCATGTTTAAATTCATTTGCAAATGAAAATAGTCTTCTATAGCATACAGATTTGGAACAACAGGAGGGTGAATACATAATGCAAATTATTTGGGTTTAATAAAAATTCGCTTTTGGTGAACAACTCTTGTATTTGTTCAAACATAAAAATAAATAACCTGCTGCTATTTCAGATCCATTAATGTCTACTTAATTTATTTCTTATTAGCTTTTTCCTGACGATCTTTCAAATAAGTGAATGCTTGTCAAGATAGTGAAGATGACAACACATTTGTGGTCCCTCACGGCAGCGTTCCCTTCTGAATGCCTCCACAGCCATCAGCTTTGTTTCACAGGTTCTCTATTTTAATAATAGGTAAATGTGCTTTTTATGTTAAGGTTACTGTCGAACACGCAGTCTGTCTGGAAAGAGCTCTCACAGGACCACATACTAATGCGTTTCTGAAAGCAGGAGCTCTTGAATGTCAGAGCAATTAAGGTGAACAACAGATTATGTGGTTGTTCAGTGGACGCAACATCGTCACAGGTGCCAATTCTTCTGTTCGTGGCTCTCTGTGGAGGAACACACATTTAATCTGGGTTTTAGTTATAGGCACTGTAAGAAAGTTTTATTTTACCTTGGTGGCAAATAGCTTCTGCTTCTTTCCCGTGCTCTCTTATGTGGCTCCGCCCCTTTTCAGTGCTGCGCTCGTTGTATTCTGTATTCGTTTGTATTTCCACCAGGGCCGGCCCTAGTGTTTTGGGGGCCCTAAGCAGATTTTCAAAAGGTTTTACAGTTTCACCTAACCACCCGCATCCTATCCCAATGTACACATCCTACACTGACACCTAATTGTAAAGATTTACCAATTTGTTTTACTCAATATATTTATCTTTCAAGATATAGATAGGAAAATATATTTGGGCAGTTGACAAATATCCAGTAAAAAACGTTTTTCCTGGTCCTTCAACTAATTAAAGTTGTCCGTGGAGTTTAAAAACAGGATATGGTGTCACACCGGAGGACGTGATAATTTTCAGTGACAATGCATCAAGTTCATATGCTTTTATAAATATATGGATGAATAAATGATTCCCAATTACTAAAATAGACACTTGTAAAATTATGCCTGAGGTTTTTATTAACAATTGTATGCTTTTCTTTTTAATTTATAAAAGTTGTAATTTATTGAACATCCTTGAGACAGTCACACCATAGCACAATTTTGAGATTTAGCTCAAAAATGAAAAAAATTAAATAAAATAAATCTAATAACAAAGCAGTTTTTATAACAATGGGTCCATGTAAGACAAAGAAATTTTAAATGATGACAATATTAATTATTTACATTTTTTATATTGTGTGACACTGAAAATGCAATGTCATGTCAACAACCCATTTAAGCAAACTTTTAAAACTAAAGAGTTTAACATTTAAAAATTAAAGAGTTTAACGATTGCTTAAGAGAAATTTATCAAAATTCAGTGAGATTAGTGCTTAAAGCAAAAACACCTGGTTATGAAAATTGCATTAGAGAACAGTATAATAATAATAATAATAATAATAATAATAATAATAATAATAATAGAAAAATAATAAATTTTCTGGGCTGGCATGACAGTCCAGATTAAAATGCAAAAATAATCAAATATAAGTGTAAACACATGTTGAAACAGATTTGAGCAACATTAAAGTGAAGGCAAAACTCTGACGAGACGAGACACAATGTAAGGTTCACAAGAATGAGACTAGACAAGATTTTTACACTATTTTAAGAAATCTTCAATGATGAAAAACATGCCCGGAAAAATAGTCTGCAGGTGCATTGAAATGTTTTAACTAATCTTGCAATAAATGCCATCTCAGTTCTGCTTTCTGAGTATGAATTATTATATGCAATAACAGAGAATACTCAAGCACTGTAAAAGATTTTGCCACAAACTCAACTGACTGACTTCTCTTCTGTATGATTTCATGAGTCTCTTCAGACCTATAGAATTGTACTTGCAGGCTATGAGTTTTTATAATGTTTGACCTCCTATCTGAACTTTTTTCTACAAATTGATCATAGAAAAAAAAAAGAACAGTTCTTTCTTAGTCTTATTAAGTGCAACCATAATCAAAGTAGGCTACTCTCTCAATATTCAAATCAAAGCGCAAACAGAAACCAAAATTTTCTTCAAGCATGATACAGAGCTAAGAGATGGTTATAACTACACATCCTATTATAGTGTGCATACTAATTACAGCCTAGATATTGTATGCATCATAATTTGCATGCATCAGGGAGCCGCAGCCGCTCTCAAACTGCTGGTATTGAAATTGCGTTTGAATGCGCGCACGCAACCTTTTTAGTTTCACTTTCGATTTCGTGATCGGGACCGGAGGTGCTGAGCACGCTTTGCATTCTACAAGATTTGTCAGACACTTACAGTGCGTGACCACAAACGTTTTTAATTAATTCCTATGGAAGTTCAGCTTCAGAGAATGCTCCAGCTCAGCTCTGCTGTTGCCATCTCCACCATCTCGCCTTACTCCCGTGATTGCTGTCTGAACTCCTGACACGGGGCCCCCTGGTGGCCACAAGGGCCCTATACAGTCGCATATATCGCTTATTAGGTAGGGCCGGCACTGATTTCCACAATATAAAAGTAAGGTCATAAAATCTTATGAATGAACCTCTCGTTTTAAAATCTTCTCGGTCTGACATTTGTCATGACATCTGCTTCAAACATCACAGTGCTCATGATAACTTTCGTTAACTCTACAATGAGTAAATCTACTTCACCAGCTAATTACTCTTCAAGAGTGATGCTGTAGAGCTACCGCAAAAATGGAAGTTTAAAGACAGAATTCTAGAAATGGCTGCGCACTTGTTTCTCAGGCATATAAGGTCTCTATAACGTCCGTTCTGGAACTTGGGAGTATGTTAGTTTGTCGACCGTGTAAGAAATTAATGGGGTCATGAACTGAGAAATCAAATTTCCCTTGATCTTTTGACATATAACAGGTCACTACAAAAACATCCTGTAAGTTTCAAAACTTTCTCGTTAGTTTGAAAACAACTTTTATTGAAACCAAGCTCAGAAAAGGACTTGTTTTGGAATGTGCCATTTTATGACGTAATAGTGTGGCTATGCACCGCCTCTGCAGGAGAAGATAAACGCCTGCTTCTACATCACTGCCTCTTTAGCCCCGCCCACTGATACGCACTTGTAGTAGGAGGAGAGGAAATACGAGACGCAAACCCAGGATTACTCCAACAGAACCAGATGACATTACAAGATTACAAGACACTGTGTAGTGTAAATTGTGATAATTAGTATTTGAATTGCCTTCCTTCTGATCCTAAGACCGTATCTAGATCGGACGCGAGCGCAGAAGCGGCGCGAATGCTTGTTTGTCAGAAACAGAGTGGGACATGAGTTTACTTTCGGGGATTTATGTCATGTCAATCCATGCCGCATCCAGTGTAGACAGAATCGCCGATTACAATGGGTTCCGGTGTAAACACGGGGTAAAATTAACAAAGAACTGCAGATCGCATCAGTGAAACACTGTTTGTTTTTTTGCTTTACATTGGTTCGAATTCATTTTTCAACAAGACAGTATGATGCAGGCTTTTCAGAGTGACAAAGTAAACGATGATGCAGTGCTGAGTCTGATTAGAGTGTATCCAACAGTAATGTTGCAGCTAGGGTTGCAAAATTCTGGGAATTTTCAGGACTGAAAAATTTCCATGGGAATTAATGGGAATCTATGGGAATAAATGGGAATAAACTGGGAATTTGCAAAATTGCAGGAACAGGGAACTTATATGTAGTTGGGAAAAAAATCTTGCAGCATAGGCTAATCTTGGTTAAAACAACCAGATTTAATGCAATTTCAGTTGAATTTCTACCCTGAATACAATTGCATGCACACTCACTTACTGCAGGGCTATTGAGGACACATCCCCTACATGCACTGTGCATTCCTCCATAACATGCACAGATCATTTCTTGAATTCTGAACACAAAATGATGTCAAAATGTCCATCTTGGTGAGTATTCAGGTAAATTAAATAAATATTACATAAATTTATGTTTAAAACTTTCTTGTGCTCTGTGTCAGCTATTGCACAACAAAATTATACCATTGTAAAAACAAATACACTGACTGTGCAAACAAAAGGTGAGGAGATAAAAAAAAAAAAAAAAAAAAAAAAAAAAAAACACTGTCTAAAGATTAGAATTTTTAAAAGAAATCTCTTACACTCATCAAGCCTGCATTTATTTGATCAAAAATACAGAACAAAATAGTAATTATTACAATTTACGATAATGGTTTTCTGTTTTAATGTACTTTAAATATGCATTTATGTGATGCAAAACTGAATTTTCATCAGTCATTACTCCAGTCTTCAGTGTCACATCCTTCAGAAATCATACTAATATGCGGATTTATTATCAATTTTGGAAAACAGTTGTGCTGCTTAATATTTATTTTTTATATAACGTGAAACTTTTTTCAGGATTCTTTGATGAATAAAACTTTAAAAATAACAATTTATTTAAAATATAAATATTTTTTAACAATATCATTCAAAAGTTTGGGGTCAGTAATTTGTTTTCTTTTTTTTTTTATTAAATTAATACTTTTATTCAGCAAGGATGTGTTGAATTGATAAAAAGTGATAGTAAAGATTTATATTGTTAGAAAAGATTTGTATTTTGAAAAAAAAAAAACCTGTTCTTTTTAAGTTCTTATTCATCAATGAATCCTGAAAAAAAAGTATCTCAGGTTTTTGAAAAAATCCAAAAATGTCATTTTTAAAATTTGTATTAGTTTGCATGCATGTCAGCTTATGACCAAATAACATTTTTATATTTATGTTTGTATATGAGACAGTTTCTATAAATTTCCCCCAAATTTCCAATTAATTCCCATAAATTCCTGTCAAGTTTCCAACTTGGAATATTTCTAAAATTCCCCCAGATTAAGTCCCCATGGAAAGTTTATGTGTTGCGACTAGAGTTGCAAAGTGGCGGAAAATTTATGGTAAATTTCCACATAATTGTGTGAACATGCTTTTACCACTATTGCATTGTCTGCTCAAGACCGTTTGATATAAACTGAGTATTTATATGTTTTTAACCCAAATGACCCATGTTGATTTTTTGCTTAAAACAATAACAAGCATCTATAATATCTATCGGTGGTTTCTTGTAATATTTAGATGCAATGGTTTAGAATTGCAGTGAGATGTCAAAGCAAATACATCAGTTCATTTTGTGTTAAATTGTCAGTTTTTACTTTTAAGCTCTAAACGTTTGCTGGTATCACACATTTTTCCCTGA